GCCTATAGAAAACCCTGTATGACATGTTGAAGCGCTTTAGCTAATTATTGATAAAATTGAATTTTTAACTATATATAATAATTTGAACATTTTCTCAATTTTGGCAAAAATTGAATTTCAAACAAGAATGAAAAAATATGTGTGCCCCTTGTATTTTTATCATTTATAAATTTCATCATACACGAGGATCCTTGAACTGAGTAAAGTAATAATTAATGACAAATTAAAATATTTATAAATGGCACAAAACGTGCCAACATATTTTGAAGTTTAGATCATTTTAAAATTCTAATATAATTTTTTTGTTAAAATATAATGTCTCTACGATTACAATGTCTTTGAATTACAATGAAAAAACAAAATTGAATTTGTAGGAAAATGTTTTGAGTAAATATTTTCGTTTTTCTGTTCCCCCCCCCCCACATTATATTGAAAAATACTGGACATTTTTACTTCTGACATCCCAAAGTTTCAACTTGATTCAATTCGCCAATCAGACACGAGACACAACCCTCAAAGTTGAAGATTGACGCATTTTTTATGGTACCAAAAGTCTCTTCAGGCACTAATAATATCACATCTTTGTCAAACCATTCATCGGTCCACTGAGAATATAAAACACCGATAGAATTTATACATTTTTATTACATTTATAAATTATAATATTAAAATATGTGTTTCATTGGTTATTGGTATTGTAAATAAGTGGCTATTATATTTTTTCATTGTTATTGAACCAAATTAAAGGGCTATGATGATATAAACAAAATCGTTCTATACGTAAAACCTTGGGTTTATGGTAATATTACCTAGTTAATTATATATGACATATGTAAATAAGGAAGGCAACTACGATTTATAGGTTAGCTACCATTTACCGAGTTATATAAGAAGATAAAACAATAGAATACCTATATAAAAATAATGCATAATTTTTAACTCATTATAAAATTAAAAATCATAGATTTGGTAGGTACTTATACTCAACTATTTTATAGTGAAATTAGGCGTCTATATATTTCTTACAAGGACAAGAATAGTAAAACAAATAAATAGGTACTTAAGTATAATGCATTTTTACGTTGTGTTTATTTATTTTAATAATTTCTATATGGCTATAAAATACTTATTATATTATTACTATTGAGTATTGAGTGAAGTATTATACTAATAAATAAATTAAGTATGTATGACTACTTTAAACAATATCTAATCATTTCATAGCATTAGGTAATCACTAAATCAGTACCTACCTATCTATATACTTTATAGTTTTATAGGACTATATTTAGTTAGGTAAAAAGTTAGTTTTTAAATCCTGTTATTGGTACATATGTGGCAAGAAAAATAAAAAACGATTTATGACCCTTGGCTTATGTACATTATAGTATTAATATTTAATCTTCAATGTGTTGTACTCGATTCTTTGAAAAATATTTCGTAATTTAATGTATTTATTTTATTTAAAACTTTTTCGTACAATGATTATGACAATTTATTAGTGATTACGGATAACTGATAACTTAGACTATATATTTTAAAAATTATTATGAAATATTTATATTTGGTAAACCAGGCGTGCATGATTATATAATTATGTATTTTTTTAATGCGCCCACAAAAACGTCAATTGTATTGTATTCATTACTGTAATTTCTTGATAAATAATATTAAATATATATAACATTTAATAAATCATTTGGATTTAAAATATTTTTTTAGATACCTATCTATATAATATTGATTAATTTTTTTAAACATATTCTTGTTTTATTGATTTATACTAGGTATTTTTCTATAACAATTAACACATAAACTATGAAATAAAATAGTTTTAAAATGCATTACTATAATGTTCAAAAATTTGATAGGAAAACTGGACGTATACCTAAATGTAATAACAATTTTAATACATTTTAATAAAAATATGGTTGTCTATATTAAAACAATATTATACAAATCCAATTTGTATGTTAATAACTACTTTATCAAAATTCAAAACATATTAGTTAAAAAAACACAAACAAATTAATCGATTCTTTTTTAATACTTTATATCAAATTATTAATTATATATATTATATTTTAATGTCTACACTACCGTCGTTAAGTAACAGTTGGTATGAAGTTTTTATTTATACACTAAACGGTGAAATACACAAATTGTTTAAAATGTTTCTAAAGTTTCAATAAACTTATGTCTTATACTCATAAGAAGTATTTGAGGAGTGATTCATTAAGCAACGAGCATGCTCATCTAATATTTCTCCTTTAATAATGCAGTTATTCAAAATCTGATTTTTGGAATTTTTAAATATATTTAAAGACCATATTTTCAAATTCTTGAGATTTTTTGTACAACTAATGTTACATGTTTTTTAATAACAACCTACTTCATCTACTGTAAATTACTTAAGGAATAATTTTATGAAAATGTTTACGTAGAGATACAGTAATTTGAAAATGTCAGTAAATTATAATTTATAAAATAGTTGAAGTATAATAAATACTATATTCGATATCATATATATTTTATAATCATAAATGTATTTTTAAAGACTGCATCTGTTATCCTTAATAATATAAACATTTTAATAACTGAAATACTACTCGTTGAAGTACCTATATAGTTAAAAATGCGGAAAATCAGAATCTGAATGTGCTTGTTATTAAACGAAAAAAATGGGGTATAGCTGAACATGCCATGTGAATCACCCTGCGTATATGTACATATTATTATTATTATTATTATTATTATAAGTGGTACCTACATATTATGTCTTAGGAATATATCACAAGTAATAAGACGTATTTAGCGATGTAAATAAATTTGTTTTGAAATGATAATACCTATTTCAAATAATCTAATTTAATAAATTATTAAAAATACTGTTGTATATGATTGTTAATTAAATTTAGCAATGCAAAAATGTATCTATGTAAGTATACCAAATGGCCAACCTTACCCACTATTATTTTTAATTAAACTGGTATGTTAACATCATTGAAACAAATAAATAATAATAAGACATTGATTATTATACATTTTAATATTATCTACCTACCTAACTATCATTGTTAAATAGGATATATTTTTTATATTAATTTGATTATTTTATATCTTAATAAGTATAGAGATATTACAATTTACACGGAATGTCCATACGTGTCTATGCATTTATTTTGTATTTTTCCTTTGATTAACCATTAACTGAATAATAAATTAAGATCCCAAATAATCATAACAGCAAATTCTCAACTTTTCTATCGGGAAAATGAAAATTGAAAACCTGATAATTTAGATCATAAATGTCACCAGACAGCCGACAAGTAGTATTTCCCATTTCACATACTATGGTGGAATGATAATTTGACGGTGGAAAGGCCAAGTTAACCCACGAAAATAAAAATGGAGTGACTACAATTTTAACGTTTTGTAAAAAAGGAATTTAAAGAAAGTTACATTTTTTTATTCAATTTTTTAACAAAAATATTATTTTTGAGTGACGTTATACTTGGGACAAATGTGTGGTTATAATATTATGTCTTTATCATTATCACTTAAAATCTATATTTCATATTGTTTATGATGGTCACTTATTCCTATCCACCACGGTGTATTATTTATCGTAATATTGCATGTCCTTAGTTTTGACGATCGGTTACATTCTTATTAGTTTACAGTCGAAGAGTCGATATTCTTTAATTAATATAAGTAAGTATTCAGGAACGCAAATATATTCAAAATATTGAAGAACCACATTCGAGTACCCACAAACAATTAAAAAGTACACGTCATCTATAAGTATATAGATTTGGTTGATACATCAAAAATAATACTTACATCATTCATCAATGTAATAAAGGTATTTTATTTAATATTACCGAACAATAAAATACTCATGATTAATGATTATGTATAATACCTATTTATAGGTAAATTAATTACACAAACATTTTTTTTCTTTACCGTGTAATTTCAATCATCATGAGTATGTACTTTGTACATTTATTGCTCAATAAAATCTTAAAAATCAATTTACATATGTGTCACGTGTCCAAATATACTTGTATGATAATTTGGCTTGATACAAAAAAAAATTCATCTGTATATACTTACATTTGAGTACCTACTTATTTCGAATTCGAATTCTAACATACAGTAATATGTACAGAATAATGAACAGTACTATTATAGTATGGAATATAATAATCGTTTAATAAATTATTATTATCGTTTCGGCGATATAGATATTTATGATTTTAAATGAGTATAGTAGCCCACCATTATTATTAATTTGCTCAAACTTAAAAACAAATTCCAAGTATTATATGTATTGATCTGGGAAAACATGTTCATTGTAGCAACACATTTCCGGTTTGATATTTTTTGTGACTGTAATTAATATGGGTCAATATACATTTTAAAGGTCATTTTTATTAGTTGTTTTAATTGTATATTTTGTCCGTAGCCCTAATCCCTAATTATAAAATGTCTTTTAAAATATCTATTGCGGTGATCAGAATAAAGTTGTAGCAGGATTACATTTTTGTTTTCGTTCTATAAAAACTAGGATTGTATACAACTTAATGCAAAATAATAATAACGACAAATTACCATAATATATATATTGACTTATTGACGAGTGGGACAACATCAAATTTAATCAAAAACATTATTTTATACATCGTTTTGTGTTCATATGATTAATATTATTCGGCGTATGGTATTGTAGATAGTTTCTTCTGAAACTTCAGAATACTCACAATAATTATTATTATATTTGAGTGATTTGACAGAGTAATACACCACTATAATACTATATATTATATGCAGCCATGCAGCTAGGTAGCACCGCGCATATTATATTATTCAAATTAAATTATTATAAATTGAATAATAAACGATGTGATCCACGTAGGTATAAGAGCTCATCATCGCAATAATCATGATGGCAATATGAACTGCAGTGTTTATTTATTATTATAATATCGTTGCAGCTACCGTTTCACTATGGTTCCTGGTGTTCACCGGGTTCGCGTGCAACTACATGATACGTATCAATCTCAACATCGCCATAGTGGACATGACCACGGCGAAGAGCGGAGGTCGAAGTATACTGATGTGTAACAATTCGAAGGCCGATTTAAATTTGACCGTTGGAAAAGATGTCGTCGTCAAAAAAGTAATATTCGCAATCAGTTTGTCACTCGCGGGCGAGACTATCAGCCGGTGTGTATATAACGGCCATCATTGATTTCACTGTTATTTCAGACAGATTTCGAGTGGAAAGACAGCGAACGGGCCAGCGTACTTGGATCGTTTTATTGGTTGCACTGGGCGTTACAGTTACCGGGAGGGTTGCTCGCTAGACAATTCGGTGCCAAGTGCATATTTGGCCTCAGCAATTTGTTCATGTTCGCCATGTCCCTGTTAATGCCGGTCCTCGCCCGGTGGGACATAAAAGGACTCATCGTCGCCCGAGTGTTACAAGGGTTCGTCGGGGTAAGTGCTGCTATTTCTCATTTACGTATTAATTGGTGGGTACCTAATACCAGGTATATTCAGGTGTCCGTTTTATGGTTCGGACAGCGCAGGCACGACTTGCAGCTCCGGGGCGTATATGGCGATGCCCGCCATCGGTGGTCCTTGTTCTGAAGGGCCCCATGTCCACGAGACCATAATTTTTCCCTTCAGAGGGGAAACGTGTACATTTTAATGAGGAAAACACATAGACATTTTATTATACTCGTATTTTTTTGAGTAAACTGACAACATTAAAAATATAGTAAAACGTTGCAGTAGAACATAATATAAACAAATTATTCAAAATAAATGAAATAATATTTTATGTTGCTCATTGCCAGGCAACTCAAGGTCAACATGTAAAATCTGATATTCCTCCGCCAACTCCTGATATTAATTCTTTAATGTCAAGCTTTGTAAGCGAGCTTAAGACTCTTATGAATCTGTTAATCTCATTACTTACTCAAGTAATCTCAAGTCTATTGGCTTGGAAAAATGAATAATTCTGTTACAAATAAGTCCCTCCTAGTTTTAAAATTTAATGCTAATGGTCCAAAAAATCATCTAACTTAATCCTAACGAGATCTCCTTAACTAATAACCAAAAAAAAAAAAAAAAAAATATATAAATAAATAAAAATAAAAGCCAATAGGAAGTGTCACTACTGGGTGGCTTCTTCCAACAACTCATTCACGCCTTTTTGTAAATTAGCCCATATACTTATTGTGTCTCTGGGTACAGATGGTATATTTCTTTTAAAAATAAAAAAAAAAAAAATAAATGTTGTTCATTAAAAACTAGACAATTAAAATATATCGTATCTTGAGCAGTTCGGTGGGTGGGTTTTCAATACTGAGACTTCCGACTGACGGATGTTTGAATGTTTCACTAATCCATATATTACTCATACGAGAAAACTCTCTTTCGGCTTGGGCAGTTTCTGCCTGGCAGTCAGCAGACATACATTAATCTACTCTGCAATTATATGAACATATGAGTGAGAGTGATCTTTAGCAAATTATGGAAGTGCATAAATATTTCTACCCAACAATTATCGGCAGCTATATTCTTCAAGTTCCGGTCTTTTACTTTTTGAGTTGTTATGTTTATACAATTATAGGTACCATGGATAATAATAATATTTATAAGCTACATACTAAATGTTTGTGAAAATAAATTCAATTTTATAATAATTCGGTAAACTGTGGGTGTATAATATATTTTGTTAATTTTTTTTCTGTATAAAAATTGTAATTAAATTGTTTTATGTACCTAATAATGATATTTTTCCCGAAAATTATTGTGTTGTTTTCGTTTTTATTTGTATAGAGTTCATATCACTTATAAAACATAATATTATAATTTATATACCTATTATATTCTATAATGATACTATTAGTATAATGATCGATATAATAATTATTGTTCATACCAATTATTATATTGTAATTTATTGATACTAATAACCATCGTATGTCTATTGTTTATAGGGTATGGCGTGGCCGTCGGTACATCATCTAACCGCACATTGGGTACCACCGAATAAGAGAAGCAAATTCATTACCGCATATTTAGGTCATTATTATTAAAAAAATATTTAATTTTCCAGTCACTATTATTATTTTAAACCCGGTATTAATGTTTTTATTATGTTAACTTATAACTTCTGTAATATTATCATGCTTGGCACTATCAATTCCTACAATACTTCCAACGATCGTATCCTATACAATAATTGATACTATTTTATTTTTATTGAATTTAAAAGGCAGTTCGATCGGCGTGGCTATTACGTTCCCGTTCTGCGGATTCATACTTGAGATGTGGGGCTGGCCGTACGTGTTCTACGTCACAGGGGCTATCGGAATGGTGTGGTTTTTGGCATGGTGGTTGCTCGTGTACGATACGCCCTCGCAACACCCTTACATTTCCGAAGTTGAGCTTGTGCACATCACTAGTAGCCTCACCGATGTGGTGTCCTCTACAAAGGTAAGAACCGTTATTTTTTTAATAATATAAAAATTGTCAACCGTTTGGATAGTCATTTTTCACTATAATAATATTATAGAGATCTCTGATTTTTTTAAACAATTTAGGCGACTTACACATGCTTTTCTTTAAGTATCGTAATTGGAAGAAACGACTTAAAACGCGGTGACGTAAAAATATCGAACAATTAACAGATTTGTTTTATTATAGTCCTAAAAAGAAAAGCTAATACCTATGATAATATGCAGAGCTGGGATTTTAATGCCCTAAAAAAAATACAAAATGACTCAAAAATTTGAAAAATTACATTAAATTTATTTAAAAAAAATACAAGTGTATTTTGTTTTTTAAATAAGTACAGGGTGGGCCACGGAAATAGGGACAAAAATAGACAGGCTTTTCTGAACGTTGAATGTGAGTAGGAAGGTCTAGATAAGCTCAATCGATCATTCAGATTATGCCATTTCGTTATCACTATGGCGCAGTGGAGTGTACTTCATCGTGTGTTTGGGTACGACGTTCTCGTTTGTGAAAAACAATGAACCGGTAGTTAAGGTGCAGCGCGCATTCAGACTTCACTTCAGCGTCGTAGGTCGTGGTGCTGGGAAAACAATTATGAGGTGGGTAGATAGTTTTCGAACGAGGACAGTTAATAAAAAAAAAACAAATGTAACAACTCCTGAGAATACGGAGTCTTACACTCTTACCGTCTGAATGCGCGCTGCACCTTAACTACCGATTTATTGTTTTTCACAAACGCGTCGTACGCAAACACACGGTGACGACATTCCACTGCTCCATAGTGACAACGAAACGACATTATATGAGCTAAACTAGACCTTCTTACTCCCATTCGACGTTGAGAAAAACCCGTCTACTTTTGTCCCTATTCCCACCCTGTATTTGTAGTATTAGTATTAATTTAAAAAAAAGTTGTACATATAGAGATCTCATCGACTTTTACCGTAGACGTCGACTAGACTTGTTATCTAGGTTTTGAAATTTCAACTATCCGGTAAAGCACGATTGAGCATAAAACGATTGAGCAATGAGCATAATATACCTTTTTAGCAACATGATTGACCCTAGAATACTATATGCGATGTTGCCACATTCACGTGTCAACATTTTGTAATTTATTATTTTCACGTATTATTACACCAATTGTTATGATATCAGACGCTAATCAATTCAACATCAGCCCATAAAATTACAATCCACTAAAGAAATTAAAAAAAATAGAATTTAATATTCAACCAATATTTAAATCATAGGAATACTCGTGAATCTCTATTAATATATATATAAGCCAACTTGGAAACAGATACCAAGGTACCTATATCAATTTAATTTATTATTATCAAACAGATCTATATACTATAGGTATAATGTGACTAGGTACTATTGAGACTATTATTGACTTATAAATGTTTTGATTTTATTATTTTCATAAGTCATAACTATTATTATTATTTGCAAAATAAATAATATAATGGAACCTTAACCGCGATTTTACGGTTGATCTGACTTTTTCATTCCATCTTTCGTTTTACAGTTGCCAATACCTTGGAGAGCCGTGTTGACGTGCTTACCGTTTTGGATAGCACTGTCCATCCAATGGAGTACAGGGTGGGCTCTGCACACGCTCATGACGCAGACTCCTACCTATCTGGTACTGATGTTCGGGTGGAGTCCGGAAAAGGTAAAAATATAATAGTATAATGCATAATAATTTACCGACGTTATTCACATTATGAAAATCACATAATTGATATCGTTATCACACTTATCGGCGTTTCTCTAACTTTTTATTTCGCATATACGTTTATGCCACACATGCCTCTGAGGTCTGAGTTTAAAGACAAATTGTATAAGTACTCATCACTGCAGGATTATTAATAATAATACCAATAATGCCATTAGGATAGATACAAAAAAAGTATAATCTGTATATATAAAACAGTAAGCCATAGGTATCAAATTGATATTCGAAATTTCAAACTTAATTTTTTTCGGACATTAACTTTTAGCATTCAGGAAAACTCTATACCTACCAGTGGTTTTCAAACTTTTATTGAACGCGACACACCATGCTCCACAAAAAATTTTCAAGGCACACAGACCTTTTTTTTTTTTTGCACTAAATAATTAGATGAACAAAATTATTTTGAATTATAATTATATAAGTACATTTAATTAGAAATGAGGGCTAACAAATTTTTATTAATTTTATTTTTATAATTTTATTCTTGGACGAATAGTTGAACTTTCCGAAAGACCGCGGCACACTCAGTGAATTCTCGAGGCACACCAGTGTGCCGCGGCACCCAGTTTGAAAACCACTGCTCTATACAATTGTGAATTCAATAACATCTTAAAAACGTTATAGATATGTTCAAATATATTAGGCATATCGTGTAAGACTATATAATATACATATTATATATTATGTGGGTACCTATTCATGTTTAACAAATCGTATACTATAAACCTACGATCGTTTTTCTCCACATACAGATCGGCCTCTGGTCCGGAATACCACATTTCACCCGTTTCTTATTCTCGCTGGTCCTGTCGTTCGCCATCGACTCGCTCATGGCCACCGGCAAGTACAGCCGAACTTGCGTGCGTAAGATATCCACCACCATTTGTACGGTGGTGCAAGCCCTTCTCATCGTGGCCCTAGTGTATTCGGGTTGCGACCCGTTTTTGGTCAACGGATTCCTACTGCTGGCCATGACGGTTAGTGGTGCTTCCACGTCCGGACCGCTGTCCATAATGGTTGATTTGTCGCCGAATTTCGCCAGTGAGTGATCGTCATCTATACAATATAGTCAGCACAATATTATAATAATTCGTTCGTGTATATAGTTCGTAACAATGTACCCAAGTACGCAATCGAACCGTGTAACAACGTTTTATAATTTTATTGAAAAATTCCATAAAATTGCACGCTAAATATTTTTGTAATCCTGTTCTATATAGGCGTACTCCAAGGATTCAGCGGCATTACCGGAGTCATCCCGGGAATGATTTCGCCGTTCGTGCTGTCTTATTTCACGAACGACAACGTGAGTACCTATATACTAACCATCTATTTAATTTTATCATACTTACGAAAATGATGAAATATACACTATTATCTATATGTACCGATCGATCGCCATATTTTCAGAACACGCTCGAATCGTGGCAACACTTTTTCGCCTTGAGCGGCGTGATAATTGCCATTCCGGGACTGCTGTACAATTTCTTCGGCTCCAGCGAACTCCAGCCGTGGAATAATCCTATTCCGGCATCTGATCCGGAAACGACTGCCACCAACGGCAACTCTACTGCCAAAAAATGATTTTTTTTTTTTTTAACGCGTACCTATATACTATAATATGTGATCGACAATCAACCGAATGACCAATTTTGTATTTTTTTTTACAATATTATTATATTTTATGTAACACCCAATACAAACCAGCATTCGTATAGAATGCCAAATATTATATTATGGATTTGAAATCGGGGTGAATATACATTACTATACAGAGTAAATAGACGTATCTATATATAGTACAAAAACCATATTTCAGGTTTTTTTTTGCATTTGTACCTGTATGTTTAGCACGACTGTAGATATTAAATGATAATATTATCTATAATGTGTTCATAAATTGTATTATTGTATTATTATCTATAATCGTGGTATTTAGTTATCACGATCGCATTTACATATTTTATTGATGGTTATAATGAACGGAAGTAAATTTCGTAGGCAGGTGCACTATCTTCTCTAATATTAATCTGGTTAAGGACATTGTATGGGACACTATAGGTATCTACATAATTTTATTATAGTATTACATAACCTGATAACCAGTCTTTTTATACATTATTTTAATAAAAAATATTTTACCCTAGTAGTTATACTCCTAGTTTTTCAATAATATTATAATACACAACTTAAACGATAGTCACTATTACTGGCATCAGGTATACCAATTTTTAATTTATATTCAATATGTCCCTTGACTTAATGGCTGTATCTACTTATTTAATCACTGTATTAATCATATGACTATGAAATAGATTTTTATATATATATATTGTGTACATTTAGACCAAACTTTGGTCAAATATCAAAAAAGTACCTACCCACCTATAGTAAATACCTTTGTTTATATAATATTTTGGTTGTAGAAAAGACACGTAGGTACAAAATAAAATGGGTTTCTTATAAGTACAATAATATATTGTATATGGCATTGTATAAAATATACAATATAAACTGCAAATTGGAATATTTTTATGAATTATAATTTTTATATATATACTATAATTGGTGTATGATGTATATAACAATTCAATGTGATTTACAATATTTTTAAATTATAATAAAGAATATATTTTATTAAATTTGCAGTATTCCTCAATTTAAAAAAAAAAAAAAAATAAGGTGAGCAAATTGGTACTATCTACTGTATAGAGCAGCGGTTCCCAACCTTTTATAAGCGTGACCCCAATATTTTAAATTTAACTTTTGGCGACCCCAAAAAAAAAAAAAAAAATTCATAATTTATTGTAAACTCAACATTATTTTATTTATTATCATCAAATTGGTAAATATGTATATTTGTTGATTTATCTATCTATATTCTATTCTGAAATACTTGTAATAAATGTATTATAAAAATGAATTTATTAATTTTTTCAAATGTAGGTAATATGGAATTAATTTATTATGAGCAAAAATATAAATTATATACCTGTTACTACGCTATGCGGGTACGACCACGCACAACCTGCGACAGATCATTTAGATAATCTATTTCAAATTATTTTTTCCTCGATCATTATAATTCTTATTATTAGAATATTTCAGGATTTTTTTATTTTTTTTAATAATATGTAAATTGTAAGACGTATGTAATGATTTCGCGACCCGCCATAAAAACCTCCGCGACCCTAATTTGGGTCGCGACCTGAGGTTGGGAATCGCTGGTATAGAGTGCGTAGCGTCACTGCAATGGATGTGTTCATTTTGAATTCAATGATTTATCAATCATAGATATCCGGGAAATGCCTAGAAATCGGCGAATACTGGAGACGGAGAATATCAACAGAAATTGCAATGTCAATAGCATAATATTGACATCCCTGCGATTAATTGTTGCAACGATCCCGTTTGTGCCTTATATCCGCTGTAGAAATAGTCAATAGTCTATTGATCTGCAGTAGTAGTTACTTCTGCTCTTTTAAACGCTTAAGATACGCTGAAGTTACTGTGGTCAGAATTCTAGCCCTGAATCAAAAGAAATGTTTATGTAAAAAGTTGATACCTATAAATTATAAAATATATGGCTATATTGCAGTAATCTTGTGTACCTACATTTAGTATTTACACAAATAAACGTAATCATTGGTATGTCATTTATTTTATATTATTGAATTTTTAAGCTATTGATCAGTGAACAAAAAAATGTATTTATATATCAACAAAGTACATCGAAAAAACCAAAAACACAGCGATTTTACGAGAAGCGATGTGTAATACAGCTCTCCGTGGATTTGGATTTCTGGTGTATAGAAAATGAAAATATAAATATTCAGTGAAATTTTCATGTATCTATCAAGTATTAGTTTTTGAATTAGGTACAACATAATAACAAAATCGCTACATGAGAAATCGAGTGAATATCCAATCTTGTTAAAATATGAACTTCAAATTCTCATAAAAATTAAATTTGATTTGCTTGTATAGGCATTTTTTTTTTTTTTTTTTTGAAAAAAGTAGATTTTATTAACTTATTTTTAGAAAATTGCTTAGGAATTTCTAGCTCAAAATAATTTTCATATTTTCGTCAATTTTAAGTAATTTGTCAATATTTGAACTTTAAATGCTTATAAAAAAAAACTGTAACCGGATTTTTAATATTTTTCATCTGTCTTTGAAACAATATTATACTAGGAGCCTTCTATTAAATCTTCAAGCGTTTTTGCCCAACAAATAAAATTGTACCTATTGATATTTATAGAATAAAAAACTAAACAGAAAACAGCTTAAATAAGTAAAAATATTTTGAAAATGTTATGGTCTATAGAAAATGCTAATAGAAACATTTATTCAAAATTTCATATATCTACGGTAATTTGTTTTAGAGTTGCATCTAAAACCAAAATCTATTTTACTTTCCTATCAGAAAAGAAACTGTTGATGTTGTCCTATAACTAGACACAAAAAAAAAAAAACACACACACACATTGGAAAATCAATACATTCATCGCTCCAGTCTAATTATAATGTGTAAACCGTATTTAATTCGAACAATATTTTAAATAACAGACAAACAGGGCGTTTGCCGTTTCAACCATGTGTGGTGGAGTTAATGGTTCACTACAGTCTACAACTGCTGTGTTGACTGTCATCATTCGTATTTATGCTCATTATTTAATTTGAATTGTTATACAAATTGCGTGAAATAAACTTTTTGTCACGCCTGCACCGAAAGTTTGGTTTTCGACCACGGTTGAAGCGTTCGAAAGCGTCCTTTTTCCGTCCAGCGGGCGGTAAAGTGGAAATCCCCAAAGTGCCGGGCGGAAAAGAGGAAATCCCCAAAAGTGCCGGGCGGAAAAGAGGAAATCCCCAAAAGTGCCGGGCGGAAAAGAGGAAATCCCCAAAAGTGCCGGGCGGAAAAGAGGAAATCCCCAAAAGTGCCGGCCGCCGGGCGCGTATCCCCTGCACAACCAGAAAGTAAAATGTATACCTACCACGGTTCTTACAAAACATAAACTTTTGGTTACATCTTAAATGTATAGTATAACCTCCTTGCATGACGCATAGATCCCTGCATAACCTTTTCCATGAACGCAGGGGCGTGACAAAAAATAGTATGTGTGGCTCGCGCGGGAAGGCCATTTCAGTCTTGTGCGAAATGCGGCACTCGCCTACGGCTCGTGCCGCACACGACGCCCGCGACTGAAATGGCTCACTTCCCGCCCTTGCCACACAATATACTATACTAACGCATCGTTCGACGCACTTAATATCTAGGAACAGTGCAAATTAAATAATATGTTTAAATGTTTATGCGTCATGCAAGGAGGTTATACTATACATTTAAGATGTAACCAAAAGTTTATGTTTTGTAAGAACCGTGGTAGGTATACATTTTAGTTTCTGGTTGTGCAGGGGATACGTCATGCCCGGCGGCCGGCACTTTTGGGGATTTCTTCTTTTCCGCCCGGCACTTTTGGGGATTTCCTCTTTTCCGCCCGGCACTTTTGGGGATTTCCACTTTACCACCCGGCACTTTTAGGGATTCCTACTTAACCACCCGCTGGACTGAAAAAGGACGCTTTCCAACGCTTCATCCGCTATCAAAAACCAAACTTTCGGAGCAGGCATGACGAAAAAAATATTTAAAATGCATTCTCCCGCTGGTTGGCACAGTGTAGGATAAGTTTAATTTTTTGGACATTGAATTACAACACTGCGAATTATAAGAAACTAAGAAAGTCGTATAAACGAGTCTATAGATCTCGACTACCGGGACTTAAATACAAAAATTAGATCTGGCCGATCTGGGTAACTGGGTAAGCTATATTGATCATCTATACTAAAATGGAGTTTTTATTAATATTATCGGGTGCATTTTTAAATCGTCTTCAGTTGATATACTATAGAGTATAGCTGGTGTAAGAGTTTGTATTGTATTTGATTGTTATATTATTATTGTTTATACATTGATTTATGAACGTTAGAAAACGTTTTTTAGTGTACCTACGTGCCTTCAATACAGTAACTTAATAACGCCGCACAGTCGAAACCTACGGTATCACGTCAATTATTCCCCGAAAATAGTTCGTTTGTTTTCGAATAAATTGTTCGTAAAAAACAATTATTTTAAAATATTAATATAATAATATTTTTAATCTATGAGCCTGTGACGATATTACATTAGGTATCTATCTTTAAGTTCAAAAAGGAAAATTTGGTCCAATTGTTACCCATAAAAAGGCATATCTATTTGATTTGGAATAAAGTTGCTCTGGAACTTCATAATATGTAGTACCTACAGTAAGTTCTCGTTACAACGAACTCCAAGGGACCACATTTTTTTTTCGTTATAACGGAAATTTCGTTGTAAGGTCATTAGAAAAGCTTAATAGCTTTTCTGTAGGGGACTTCTAGGACTTTCGTTATAACGGGATTTTTCGTTGTATCGGTATTCGTTGTAACGGGAACTTACTGTATAATTGGTTCAAATAAAAATGAAGAAAAGTGGAGAAAACTATTTAAGTAAGTATGATTAACAAATTTAAATATGTGTTAATTTTTTACTAAATGTTATTCTATTTCTTACTCAAATCAAAATAATGGCAGTTTTGGATTTATATGTTTTTAACATTCAGTTAAAGAAATGTCAATTAAAAACGGGTGGAGGAAAAACTAGTAATCTATTTAGGTAGCTTTGTATTATTAGATGACAATATTTCAACAATATTTTTATATTTTATAGAATTGATTATTATTTACTGTACAATATAATTTATATTAACTGTAAGGCGTGTAATTATATGTATTTGAATGTTACCCATTTTTTTTTTAAACATAGAAACTAGAAAAATTAAATAAGTATACTAATTAAAACCGTAATGGTTACTGATTAGTGTTTCACAAGTAATTATTATCAGATGTACTAACCAATTGAGTATTAATGGTATAGTATCCTTTTCAATGTACATATAGGTAGCACTAATGCTAGTGAGTAAAGTCTACCATACCAATTACACCAGGTCTTCTGTATTTTTCATAGAATATTGAAAATTAAATTTAAAATGTTAACACTTTTTACTTTTTAGTAAATGTCATTGTTAAATACAATTTCAAGTCATAATATTGAATTATTAACTTTAGTACTTCATTTTATTCCAAACAAGTCTAAAATCTAAATCTAAAATTTATATGATAATTAATATTATAACTATAAGCAACATTAAATATAAGTTATTCTTTGCATCTGGGGAAAGTTAGTGTTATATTATGCTTATTACTTGTATGATTCATATTCTTTTAAACTTAAAATAGTACTAATTCATCAAATACAAAAAACAAATCTTAGCAATCTTAAATCAGGTAGGATAGATGAATCTGAACAAAATTAATTATAACTCAATTACATTTATCATTTAATAACAATAATTATATTGAAAAATATAAAAATGAATTAAAATAAACTATTAACTAATAAAGATGTGTTAGTAAAAATACAATATTATACCTAATACTTTTATTTTTACTAAAAATGTACAATATAATTATTTATCACAGATTAAGGTAAGTAATTAATTAATACAATAAGAGATTTATTAAGAGATTTTATGTAAAAAAAAAAAAATTATACTTATTTGATTTTGAAAATCGAAAAAGTAATTGGTAGGTACTTCAAAAACCAAATTATGTTTATAATATAAATAATAAACATGGAAATACTTATACATTTCCATTTAATAAAATATATGTATAAATAGTAAATACATAGGTACCTTAAATATGTATACTAAATAAATGTATATAGTTATAACAAAAATAAAATTTTTCAAGACTTAAATATTTCTGAATTTGGTATTAACGTCATAATGTTGCATTAATTAGATCATTTAATATCTACTCATAGAAGATATGATAAAAGTATTTTTAAATCATGTTTTAACTAAAAATAAAATATCAAGTTATATCAATAGAAAAATATTTAAATTATTTGAGATCTTATTTGGTTTTACATTTCACATAATTAACTAAATTAATTACAATAGGTAAATATAGATACTATAGTTTTAATACTTCATGATACAAAATTATAAGTATCAGATTAAAAAGTGTTTTGTCACTTTTATGTTGATACCACAAATAATGTATGTATATTGATTTTGTCATACTGTTTGAAACATGAGTCTCATATTGTGTGTAAATATGGGAGCAAGACGTCCACAGTTGGTTGATGTAGTCTCATTCAGTAGACTGGCAGATTCCTCCAATAGGTATTTAACTGGATCACTTCCGAGTTGATACTGTAAAAGAAAATGTATTTTAACAAACCAACATATTTTATAATGATTTTGAAATAGCCCATACTTGGGACATGGCATTAAATAATGCTCGGAATGCAGGCTGTTTGTTAGTCTGAAATGTAGAACGAGATCCATGAAGTACTGCCACTCCATCCTCTTCAGCTGACTTGCAGTTGCTCATATACATACAATGATCAGAACGATAATTATATCGACACGGATATACATAAACCTTATCTAAAATTATTCATAACAATAATGTTAAAAATATATTAAACAATTGTTTCATGATAGATTTACCTGGATGATCGTGAAAAATTACATTTATAATATCTTGATCTCCCCAAGTAAGGTATAGTCTATATTTTTCCAAAACAGGTGCCAGCCGACTTATCCAATCAAATTCTCTCATACGGGTGAGATTCATTAACATGACACCAGAATTCAATCCTAAAATGTATAATATTATATTGTGTATGCCTAATATTATTTGGCAACCATAGATCTATAAACTAATGGACAGCGCTTCCACTCCGCCCTGCCATCAATGTGCAGGAATCATATAAGAGAAATAAAGAAGAAAAGAGAAAGAACATATAGTGGGGTAATCATAGAACTATGAAACTAACACTGTATTTCCCCCCACGTTATCTTTTCTCTTTTACTCTATTTCGTACCCCTGAAATCTCTCTCTAAGAGCTGTCCATTAGTTTATAGGTCTATGTTGGCAATACATTTTATAGAGAGACACTAACCTAATTTTCCATAATATGGATGATTGGCAAATCTATTGTACCACCCGACATTCATGTCTTCATGTTCAGGTACCATAGCAGCCAACTGGGAAGAATTCATTTGAGAAAAATGTTTCCATACATCTTCAATGCTGCTTAAGAATAAGGTATCGGTGTCTACATAGAGAATTGAGTCTAAATGTTTTAAAACCGTCTGAAATATTAAATAGAAAAATTTACAAATGTTATATATTAATACATCAATTTGAACCATATTTACTGGCAAAAAAAGACGTTCAGATGCACACGGCTGAAATAGTTTTCTCCATTCATCGGAGTGTTCTTTAGGAAAGATAATGCTATGTATCTCGTACGAAAATGAATCATTAGTCAATAGTCTCCAATCTCGTAACTAAAACACAAGCCATAAGGAATATATAATATAAATGAATATAATATATACATTTTGCATTTAGTATGGCAGTAGTAGGTATCTAGTATTACTCATGTCAAACAATACTTACAGTTTCATCAAATTCTTGTTGAATGTTTTTTTCAGCAATAACTACAATTCTCAAATCTGAATTACCTCGAAAGACAATTGCTGATTTAATCATAACTAATGCTTGGGACGTACGATTTCCACAAATCACGGCAGCTATTACCACTTCTTCATTTTTCCTGCAGACAATAAAATGTTAAAATTAGCATATGTCAACGATACATAGGTATATTACATAAAAAAGAATAATATTTATAGTTGTTAGTTATTGTGTTAAGTATATAATATATATATATATATAAATAAAATACATTGCAATGTTGTGTAATTTGCCTTACTTGGTTTGAAACAGTTGAACCGAATGGCTGCCAGGTAAAATACTGGCATTAAGGGCCGACAACCCACCAATGTTATACGTGATCTGCTTGTCGGGGAGATATAAACACAGCAGTGTAACGATTGAGAACCCGATAACGCACAGAAACAGACACGACAACTTGAGTCGAACCATCGCTTCAAATGTCATACAAACACGTTCACGACGAACAATACATAGGTACTAATTCTATTGCAATCGCACACAGTTTTTCGTAGCGAAGACTTAGACAGTAAATAAACTATAAATTTGAGCGAACAATGATACCATAAGCATATTAGCCAAATAGATGGTTTTCAAATTTTTCTATAACCTAATTTTAAAAATAATATTGAATATTATAATTTAATACTTAATATTTAAAAATTCTATCACGATTCACGAAAACTACTTATAGTAGAAAGTAGAAACTAGAAGTAGAAAGACAGAAAGTAGTTCACAGACTCACAGACCGCAGTACTAAGCGGAAAGTCAAAAATGACAAAAACGAATCAACAAAAGGTCTAAGTTTGATAACGTTTCTACTGATAACACGTGTGATTATATTCTGTGATTACATACACGATAATATGATAAACCGTTAGAATTTAATATATAGATATATATATATATATATTATCGTATATTATTAATTTATTATAATATACCCTTAGATCATATACTATAGTATATGATCTAAGAATATACCTAAATAATTTAATTTAATTTTTTTTTAATTATTTACATATGGAATTTAACTAGAATTCTAATCTTCATGGTGGAAACCATAGTATTCCGTGGTGGAAACCATACCTCCACATTGAATTTTATCTTTGACTTGTACACATTTTAATGACCATTGATTATTATTATTCTTGTTTTTTTTAAATTAATTTTTTTACAAAAATCGTTTATTTTTGTGTACCCATTTACCTATTTAAATATTTTAGGTAATTTTTTAATAATGCACTATAATTATTACACTTGTTGGTTTATTGTTTTTTTTTTATGAATAACCACTTGTACCTATACTTATTAAAATACAAGATATAGGTATAGGTCATGATTTACATTTAATTGAAAACAATTCATTTGTCCGAGAATATTTTGTTAATTTGATTACCGTTTGTTGGTGTTTACATATCTAGTATAGACGTATAGCATATACTATAGCATAGGTACCTACCTATTTTACGATTTTTGGTATTTAAGTCTGTGTGCAGTGCATCATTTCAAACAAACCATGGCGCATTTTAAATTACATAATATAGGACTTTGATGATTATGACTTGTATTTTATTTAGAGAAACTAATATTAAGGGACCATGCAATATTTTGACTATTGAGCTATTGTGTAGAAATAATAATATGAAAAATAATTTTCAAAATGCTATCAGATACTTGAAATTTTTAATGTTGCTCACTTCGTATAGAAAGGTTGGCAAACCCTGATGGCATTACAGATGCGTCCTGTTTGTCGTCGGTATTACAAGAAGTTTTTCTAGTTTTGCTAAGCTGATATTATTTTTTCTATAGCCGTTTTTTCAATTAAAATAATGGACTCGTTACCTGGAGCTGGAGGTATGCATAATATGCATTATATTATAATGTATATAGATTTTTAAAATATCAAATCAATGTACAATTTTAACTATAGCTACATGGATTGAACAAAATATATACAAATACAAACTTCACCATTATAGATTTCCAAGATAGATCCAAACAATCTTTTTTTTACCATTTAAAAAAACGTTTAGGTAGTTAACAAAATGCACCTGACGGCGTATCCGTCGTGACTTGGCGGGCGTCAAGGGGCGTCGTTATTGCCCGGTTCAGGATTGAAATGTACATCCTGAACTTTGAACCTGCGCATGATGATACTTTAAACAGATAATTTTCTCAATAGTTATTTAATGTCACGGGAAAAACCACCGATAAATTACAAAAAACCGCTAAAAACGGGATTTTAATTTTTGCAGAAACGGTTTGTTTATCACCCAAGAAACTGGTAAAAAATTATAATATTAATTCATCTTACAGGCTATAATAAATAATAACAATATAAAATATCCAGACTGACAAACCATCTCCGCTCGGAATCGTTTTTCTTATACAATGATGTTATTATATCATTGAATTCAAGTTTAATACAATCCATTATACTTTGACCCACTTGTAACCTACTGTACAGCAGAGTGACATCCACTTGCCCGCTTTTTTTTTTTGATATTTGATATGAAGTTTTGCCGAGTAATAGATATTACATTTTTTTACTTATATTTTTATTCATTGATTTGCTATATATATTTTTACATCCAATTGTCCCCACGTGACCACGTCCAAACAACAGTTACGTTGATTTGTCCCTAATTTGTCCACATTTGATATTACACAATATATTATGACTATATGCCATGATGTTTGCTTTAATAAAGACAATAATGTTTACAGTAATTAAAAAAAGATTTCATATCACAGAATAGTACTGATTAATGAATAAATAAATACGTATATCGGATATGTGATAATGGAGCTTTTAATTGGAATTATGAAGGTAGATAAATGTCATGATATTCTAAAAACAACCCTAGGTACATTTATTAACGAATGATTATAAATAGATTTTGTACATTTCATGTAAAAAATTCTTCAATTTCTAATAGTGTTTTGTTTTCCGTTTCTGGTAAATAAAAGTATAAGTAAAGTGATCCAAAAATGCCAAAACAACCGTAGAATACCATCGTGTATTCCAAGGTTAATAGGTTCTCTACGGCTAAGTATGATTTTGTTAATATGAATACTAGTAAATATGACAATCCTGCAGACAAACCAACTGCGATTCCTCGACTTCTGTAAAAAAAAATAGTTTTTTAATTGGATTCAAAAATTATAGAATATATATTTTTACAATTTTACATATTATAAGTACCTAATTACTAATATTTATTATTACTTTTAATAAGATTGATATAATACAAAAAATAAAATAAACTTTATTGGTTTTTAAATGGTTGCAAATTATATTATTATAATAGTAATTATATGAATTAGTATTATATTTCTTTTTATGTATAACTGGTTGCTTTACTGATTACTCAGGCAGATCAGATACAATTATGAATCAAATTGTCACGCTTATGGTATCAAATAAAGAAACTAAATCTTAAAACCAAATGTTTGTATGTAGAGGTAGTGGTAAAATGATTATTTCAAGGGGAATTCATGTTTAATTTTTGAACATGAGCTATTTGGTATTAAAAGTGCTTATATACTCAAAAACTATTCCATTGAATTTGACGAAAATCTCAGAGATTGTTTTTAGAGATGTCAGTAAAGTTTAGAGAGTAAGTAGTTTAAACCACGTTAAACAGTATAACATGTGTTAAATCCAATCCGCAACTTGCAGTTGTCCGCCTATGGGTTGAATGATCTTACAAAGATGTGTACACTGATACCGATTTGTCCATGACCTGTGGTATACTAAAACTGAGATACACTCAAATCGAAATACACCTATGTGCTATTTAGTGTATATACGATATAGGACTTTCCAAAAGATTCATTTTCAGCAACTAATAGAAAATTAGTATTGATTTTATATTATTTTATATGATTGGTATTACTTTATATGTATATTTTGTATTTAAGTAAAAGTTGAATTAAAAATATGTCGACTGTCGAGGTATATAATATTATTATTTATAATTTTTAAATAAAATTTATTAATTCTCTACCTATAGTTTTATATGAATTTATTTGTGTATTGTTAATATTGTTAGTAGCCCACCAGTACATTCGTTTTGGGGTACGGGGACAAAGCCCCTGCGGGCATGTGCTGCTAATAAAATTTAGCCCCCTCTCCAAAAATGAGAAGGCAGTTTATATATTGTTGAATTGAACTCCTCTAGTCTCTACCATATAATTCCCAATTCGAGCACTGTGTATAGCCCAACTTCGACCGGGAAAAAATGAGCTAGGTTGAATTAATAACAATAATAAATAATAAGTAAAGTACCTAGGTATACCGTATACAGATGATTATAATAAAATAAAATACTACAATTTAAATTATGATATACTAAAAATGTATTAATATGTACTCTTTTAGAAACATATTCATAAATACTTATCTCGTGATATACAACTTCTTCATTTTGTTTAAGTATATTAAAAGTCAAAGACTGACTATTAGTATTATCATTGACTATAAATACTTTAAATATAGTATCTATCATCAATGCTATTATTATTATAGTTCTAAACATATGTACATAACATTATGGTAAATGTGTGGCTAAAATGTTCATTAGTTGTACCTACTTGTTCGGAAAAACTTCGCCAAGTACCATCCATGGCAAAATCATAATTGAAGCTCCAAAAAAGTAAATGCCACATAATATAGTTGTAGGAATCCAAGGAGTTGAGTAGATATAGTCATTCTTAATTCCTATTATGTATATGCCGAATAGAAACATCAATAATGTGTTGATTGAAAATGTCAAATTAGTCAAAAACCTTTTTCCTAGATAATGCACGGTTAAGACTACAATCACGCATCCGATAGTTTGTAGTACAGATAAAACGACCTAAATTTTTTTTTAAAAATTTAGACTATTGTACCAACCTTTTGGTGTTTGTAATAAATAACAATACAGTAGTGATATAATATTTACCAGTAACAAACTTTGATTATTCAATATACCGACTTCTGTCATGATCTTACTGATGAACGTTCTCCAAGGCATACTGCTCATGATGATGGAAATAAGGAAATAAAATATCATTAGTCTAAGAGGTCTGTACACTGATGGGTCCTTAAATTGAGTTAATTTTCCTGTTGATTGTTGGGTTCCAGATATTTCATTATATCGGACGAGTTCGAGGTATTCCGTTTTGACCACATTAGTTTTCACCCATCCTCTTAACCAACACAACGCCTTTTTGGCTTTTCCATTTTTTCCTTTAGCAATCAACCATAATGGTGACTCTGGAATCTAAAAACAAAACGGGGACAGATATGCGATTAAATATGCGTTTTAGCAACAACAACAAAAAAAATCAAACTAAATACTATAAACACTAAAAACGATTAAAAAAAAAAAAACATACCAACATGACAAGGCATATACTAGTGATTGGACAAAGTGTACTCAGCAATGCGACGGTTTGCCATTCAAATAAATACGCCAAAGTGAATAAAAACGATACTCCTAACATAGGAGCTGTAGACGTCAACGAAGTCATCGATCCCCTGAGCCTAGGTTCGGTTATTTCAGCGATGTACGACAATATTGGGGCTTCGCTGAATCCTATGCTCAAGCCCATCAGTACGGTGGACGCGTAAAGTGAAACCACGGAGTGTGTGTAGTATAATAAAATCCATCCGAAAATACTGGGGAAGTTGGCGAAAATCATGCACCGTTTCCTTCCGAACTTATCCTGCAGTATTCCAGAAAAAAAACTTCCGGCCGGATGAAATATACATATTAAACTCCCTATAATAATAAAGGTTAAATAAATTAAACAGTATTGGTCGGTATGTGTAGTATGACTGTATGAGCGACTAGAATATGTCTTTTTTTATTTACAATACATATTCGCTCCAGTGGCGTTGTCAGCGGTTGCAGCCCCCCCCCCCCCCCCCAGTATTTTCATTTATACCAGTAAGTCTATACTCCGCAGACAAGTATATAGTATGAATATATTGTGATATATTATGGTTAATATAATATTACAGCGATAGAAATTTTATTTATTACATTTATTAATATTTTTTATTCACCCCCCTCCCCTTATAAATCCTGACTACACCACTGATTCACCCTACTTTTCATCCCATATTCAAACTCTGATTATTTCTGCATAATATTTGAAACTACTTGAACTATATAACTACCATTTTTTATAGAGTGTCTTTTTTAACAACCTTTATTTCAAATGAATATCACAGTTCTTACCGTATATGCATCTAATTTACATTGTTTGTATAAGTAGTTTTTGACATTTTAACATTATTTACAAAGAATAATAATCCTTAAGGGGCCTCGCTTTTCGCCGTCAATTTTAGCTGAAAAGACCTAAAGTATTGACACAATCAAAGTTAGTTGTCCGTTTTTGATTCTGAAAAAAAATTTTAACTCACCAGAAAATTGTCTACAGATCCTACGAAGCACTTTGTAAAAACTAAACTTTATATTATTGTGAAACTCTGAACTGTAATTGAAAACTTGAAATTTCGAATCATAATTAAAATTAAAATTAATATTAAAAACTGAAAATGTTTCGTACGATCTAGAGACATTTTCCTGCTCAATTCAAATATTTTTTTGTCACGCCTGCACCGAAAGTTTGGTTTTCGATTGCGATTGAAGGGTTGGAAAGCGGGCGGTAAAATGAAAATCCCAAGAAGTGCCGGGTGGTAAAGTGGAAATCCAAAAAAGTGCTGGGCTCACATATCACGCTTGTATCCCCTGCACAACCAGACACTGAAATCTATACCACGGTCCATACAAAACATAAACTTTTGGTCACATCTTATATTCATATTATAGCCTCCGTGCGTGACGCTTAAAATAAATTAAACACCAAATCGTTTCTTTCATGAAATATATTGTTGTCGTAGAATTATGGTCTAGTTGTTGCATAGATGCATTACCCTTGCCGTGATTGACAGAGGCGTGACAAAAAATAGTATGTGCGGCTGGAAAGGCAATTTCAGTCGCTCACTTCCCGCCCTTGCCTCACAATATACTATTTCAGAATCAAAATCAGACAACGTTAAGTCGTTAACTTACTTTAATTTTGTCAAAAAAAATGTATATTTTTATAAAATTCGTGTAGTGAAATATATATGGCTATCGAATTATTGACATTTGAGATGATACCCGCATTTTCACTCACATTAATAATCATTTACAACTAACACGTCATATAATATACCGGGCGGCTATTACAAGATTAGAAATTGCCTAAATGTTGCCCCTTAAATAATGACCGTAGCGAGACCCCTTAACTGTCTGACCTAGAATAATATAAAATAGGTACCTACCTAGGTATGTATTATGTTCAATTCAATATTAATAATTCAGAAACTACTCGTTTGAATTTCTATTTATGTACATAAATATTTTTTTAAAACTGATAAATTTATAGCATAAAAGGGTGGTAGGTACTCATTTGAAAATCTATGTTCGTATCAACACAAGATAATATTTATATTAAGGAAAAAATTCTATGTATTTAATAATGTGGTGTTTATAAATCAGAGTTTTAATAAAATCATTATTAAAGGGAAATATAGGAGTGATCATGATTGTTGAATCATACTGTATATCATGTAAAACATCATGCAAGACGCTTACAACTACACGTGATATGACATGAAGTGTCCTGATTTAAATTTTATGAACGGATATAGATAAATTCTTATATCTTTTTACTACGTTATTACTTTCAAATTTTCAAGTCTCTACGATTATTTCTTTGTGAATTAAAAAAAAATTTCGATTTATGTCAATTAAGTAGGTACATTATTGTGTTTCGTATATTTTAATATTATAGTTTTACGATGTTCTTTGTGATTTTTCCAATTATTATCAAAAGTAAGTACCTAGAGTATACTTCTCAGTAGTTCTCATCGAGAATATCAACTAGATCAAATTTGAAAAGAAATTACACTCAAAGTTGAATATTAAAGCAAAATGTTTTCTGCTCTAAATCTCTAATACATTATAAAGTACCTATACAAAAATAAAAAAAACATACACAATTGTAGAAACAATACAATTTTCCTCACTCCGATCAAACAGCGATTTTGGAAAATATAACATTTTTATGTTAGGAATAAATTGTTTTGATGACAATGACATATTTAAAACGTTCTAATAAACATAATTAATAGTGCCTTTTTCTTAACATTAAGATTACCTATTACAGTATTCCCGTTACTTTGATTGAATTGTTGTTCGTATACTAACCATACCATGAAATTTCAGACAATGTTAATGAGAATTCACTGCCTGAATTTTGATACAATTGTTGTATTACTACTGTGGGCATTCCCATTTCCATACCCACATTCATTAATAGGAAGCTCTGCGCTATAGTAGCAAAAATCTGTAATATTTGAATGCAAATTATGTTGTAGAAAAAAATTTGTGTTTTTATATTTTTATACATACTTGTGCCACCATTGCCTTGGTGCCATAATTTTTCGAAGTATTTTCATTTTTATCCTCCATTAACGAGTTATTATGGCAAGACTACAATACTTGAAAAAAAATCAACTGTCAGTATTACTATAAAATAACGGTCGAGTACGTGTCTATAGTACGTAGCTACTAACTGATATTAAACATGTCATTAAATATAAGCAGTTTTACTAATCGAACGATACATTGCTAAGTACTTAAAATATAATCTTTAAATGGTTTTTTGGTTAACATTGTAAATCACATAAATAGTAACCTATAGGTATACCTTAAAAATTATTTAATATTATAGGAGTAAGCTATTTTCAATAAATATAATGTATTTTATAGGGTTGTTTTATGATATCATTATTTTGTTTCAATATGATAATTAAAAGCTGAGTAAAAATTAAAAAGAAGTAATACAATATGACTTGTTATTGATAAGTCCGATGCCCGATATTCGCCCTGATAAGAGTCAAGGTCACACTCCGCAATTATCGATGTCCCGCGCGCCGTTGCCTATAGTCAACCTGTTGCCGTATGTCGTACGGCCTAGCCACCCCATGGCCTCTTAGTCCGGACTGGTTTTGAGAGCCTTTCGTGGCATTTTTTATTTTTATATACTTGTCTCGTGACGCCGATACAATATATTATTCCTTTCGAACTTCGAATGTGCTCCGCCGTCGAGTCTTGCTGCCGTTTTGCGTTTTACGTATTCTATACCGCATGATCCGTGCGTACTTATGGCAAACCGCCCAAGGTTATTAGAATGAGTATCGAAATCCGAAGTCGTATACTTTCCGAAAGTAGGAGTGATTTACAACCACGGATGCAAATTGTATGGACCAGGGGCTAAAATACTGTGTCCCCTGAAAATCAAAGTGTGAATCAAACCACATTTTGTGTGTTACAACCCCCACAGGGTTTTTTTTGCTATAGAAAACTATCAAAGCCCAAAAGTAACAGTTAAATTAATAAGTGTGTGGTGTGTCCCCTGAAATCAGATGTATTTTAGGCCCTAGTACGGACTACGCACCCATCCGTTCAGCAGTGCTTTAATGCGGATACAACCCCTGTGCCTTTTACTGTGTGCTTTGTGCAACCCCCCGGGCATTGCTCCAGTCAACGTCCACCTGGCACTATAGCATCCCACATCTTCTGGTTTCACCATATAGTTCCTGCCAAATGTCGAGACATCAGCCTTAGTCTCCGAGTAAAGGTTAGGTCATTTGTTGTCGTTAAGTATAATACCTATGTTCGGTGTCACTAGATTATATAATTTTGTCGTTGCTACCCCATTTAGTGGCGTGCTCACGGGGGGGATGATGGTGTCATATCTCTCCATAAACTTTTTTTTTATGGGTAATTTATAGTTCTTCGATAATTTTGGTTTACTCAAAAAAAAAATGTAGTGTTTGTTTCTGTTCACCCCCCCCCCCTCCCGTAGGAAAAAGCTGAGTACTCCACTAACCCCATTATAGAATATAGGTATCTACCTATTTAATTATGTTATCAATTGATTTACTTGCCTGATTAATGGTATATATTATTATCACCACGAACACTAGCTACACTACTAAGCACTGTTTGTTGTATTTTATTATTATTATTATAATTATTTTGAACTAGCTTATCCCATGCACTTCGTTGCTCGTTAAAAGTCCCAACTTTATGTCTCTGTATTATATGAGTGTTGAGTTACACTTAGTTCAATTCGTTATTTAATATTCGTGTAATGGTGTTCAAAACTTAAACATTTTCAACGAGCATCTTGAATTTTAAAATACTTGTGCAAGCACCAATTTAAAGTGCTAATTTTTGAAAAATTCTTTCTTTCTTTCATACATGGTGTTATGGAGGTACCGTGAAAATTGCAAGGCTCAAGCTATCCTTGTTTAGGATCTGTCCTGTGGGCTGTGACTGATAACAGTGAGTCAGTCAGGACACGACAACACGTTCGATAATCGATTATATTATATTATAGTTTATAGCCATCCCGCCCGGTGTTGCCCGTGAGAGTGTGAGAAACGCTTGTGATTATGCGATCAGTGTAATATTTTCAGGTGGGCAATCCATCTGCGGTGGATTGCAGACCCTGCGAAGCGAGTACTTAATTATGAATGTTTTATTAACTTATTGTTTATGATATGCATGTGTAGGTCACAGGGATAACGGTTGAAAAGTTAGAGTTAGAAATACCATTTTTACTAAGTTATTACTAAGTTATATGGTTTTGACCAAATATTATATACACGTCCAAATCTAAAATGATATTCAATCATAACCAATAGCAACCTTTGAACCTTTCAATAAACAAAAGCATGGCTAGTACCCGTATATTGCCGGGGCAGTAACCGTACGCCAGCGATCGCACTTGAGCAGGTAATACCTGATGATATCCACTACGCCGTCGATCCGTGCATTCTCCATTCATGCTAAAATGTTCAAAACTTATTACTCTTTTTGGGCTATTAATACCATAGATATGTATATAATATGTCTTATACCTAGAAGGACATACCGTCTCCGCTCAGAATCGTTTTTCTTATACAATGATATTATATCATTGAATTCAAATTTAATACCATCCATTATACAATGACCCACTTGTAACCTACTGTACAGCAGAGCGACACCCACTTGCCCACCTTTTTTAATTCTATGTTAACGTTATTAATTGATAAGCCAGCCAAATGCCTTACTGCGGGGAAGCGCTCGTGTACAGGGTAGTTGTCAGAAAAATGATAAGAATGTTTAACCAGCTATCAATTTTTCGATTTTCTCAATAGTTATTAAATGCCACAGAAAAAAACCACCGACAAATTACGAAAAACCGCTAAAAATGGGATTTTAATTTCTAACGCTTTGTCTATCACCATAGAAATGAATAAAAAATAATAACACATATTAAAATATAAATTCAACATACAGGATATAATAAATAATAACAATATCCAGACTGACAAACAGTCTCCGTTCAGAATCGTTTTTCTAATACAATGGTATTATTGTGTGGGTAATGATAATTGATAATATTGATTAAGAAATTGTAACATCACAATAATGTGAGGTTAGAGTGTACAAGTGTACAACCAGTACAACATAAAGTAATCTGCCAGTTGAAAACTTATTTTACATTTTAACAAATTGTCTTTTTAAAGAATTATAGTAAACAAACATGGCGCAGTCAATATAAAAGAACTACGGTCAAAGTTGGAACGTGAAGTAATTAAGTATCAACAAAAAGAAGATATTAATTTCGATATTAATTGACTAAAAATTAACTCGTTCAACAAATCAGGACCATTGATACTAAACGGTAGTATAAATTAACAGTTTAGAGTGTTTAAACAGGAAATAAACATTTACTTCAAAGCAACAAAGACAAATAAAGAGGAAAATGATGTACAAGTTGCCAGACTCTTAAATTTATTGGGAACTGATGCTTTAAAAATCTTTAATACCCTAGGTATTAAAGAAAAGGTAATATTAGAAGCAATAATATTTAAAATATATTAATAAACAAACAATTATATCATTGAATTCAAGTTTAATACAATTCTTTATACATTGACCCACTTGTAACCTACTGTACAGCAGAGCCACATCCACTTACCCATTTTATTATAAATTGTTTTTACGTCCGAACATTTACGTTAATGTGTTCCTAACCGACACGTTGATAATGCACAATATATTATGACTATATGTCAAAATGTTTGCTTTAATAAAGGAAATAATGTATACGGTAATTAAAAAAAATATTTCATATCACAGAATAGTACTGACTTAATCAAGTAGGTATGTCTGATATGTGACACAATGTAGCTTTAAATTGGAATTATGAATTTTCAAGTAAATGCATTTCATGATATTCTAAAAACAAAACTAGGTACATTTATTAATGCTATAAATTATTATATTTATTAATAGCTTTTCATTTGTACATTTTATGTAAAAAATTCTTCGATTTCTAATAGTGTTTTATTTTCCGTTTCTGGTAAATAAAAGTATAAGTAGAGTGATCCAAAAATGCCCAAACAACCAAAGAGAATCATAGTGTATTCCAAGGTCAATAGAATCTATTTCTATGTATGATTTTGTTAATATGAATATTAATAAATAAGACAATCCTGCAGATGAGCCAGTCGCAATACCTCGGGCTCTGAAAAAAAAAAAAACATAACCAACTGCAATTAGATTAAATTATTAAAAGGATCGAATATACCTAGCTGATTCGTAATTTATATGTCAATTATAAAATAAACAATATTACCTAAAATTAGGTACCTACATAGATATTATATTTCGGTGAGTATAGAATATTGTACTTACTATCTCTAATTATCATAATCATCCCCAAAAATGTACTAAGTTGTAATCTACTTTTAGTAAATGTTAGTACTACACTATTACATAATAATAATTTAAAATTAATGGGTAGGTAACACAGCTTTGTTAAAATATTATAATAATATATGTAATATGTATATATAATATTATATCGGTTTTCAATTCTCTAATGCTCGAATAATCATCAAATTACTTGACCAGTCAAGTAGACCATTCCCAATATTCGTTTATTTTACGAACATATAACGTATATCGTTGTTTCGTATCACCTATAATCCACTAGGAGGTAGCGAAGAACAAATAGCAAATATCAAATATTCGTACAAGTACTCTGTTCCTTCTAACTACCTATAAGTACATTATATGGTGACTATCAACAAATATAGCGAATATTTGTCAAAAACGGTGGAGTAGTATTTGGGTCTATAATCTACAAAAGTACAAACATACGGACAGTAATACATTTTCATCTTGAATCAAAAATTATTTGATGGATATCACAATTTTAAGTCCTAACATATATTTTTATGTACACCATTAGAAACTACTATACATTCTTAAAAAAAAAAAAATAATTGTATTAATATAGACACTTTTTCCCTATAAAGTTTAATACTATATACACTATAGGTAAGGTATTATAAGAATATTATAAATTATATTTGGTGGAGGAATAAAAATCCCCTACATTCTCCCCGCCATAAATACGATACCGACTCCCAGTATAACTTGTTGACTTTATTTAAACATATTCGTCAACTGACTTATTGTTATATTTCTAAGAATAGTAAATTATTGTGTAAGAAAATGTATAATTTTAATGAGCTTTACTTGTTTGGAAAAACTTCACTAAGTAACATCCATGGCAAAATAATGACTGAAGCTCCAAAAAAGTTAATGCCACATAATATAGTTATAGGAATCCAAGGAGCTGAGTAGATAAAGCCATTCTTAATTGCTATAATGTAGATGCCGAATAGAGACATCAATAATGTGTTGATAAAAAATATCAAATTAGTCAAAAACCATTTCCCAGATAATGGACGGTCAATACTACTATCAAGGATCCAATAGTTTGTAGTACAGCAAAAACCACCTGGAAATATTTCAATAAAAATATTTATTATTTTACCTATAAAAGTGTATGTATTTCCGTAGTACCTATATTTACCAAGAGCAAACTTTGGTTATTCGATATACCAACTTCTGTCATGATTTAACTGGTATACGGTCTCCAAGGTACACTGCTAACGATATCGGAAATCAGGAAATAAAACATTATAAATATAAAAGGTCTGTACACCGACGGATCCTTAAACTCGGCTAATTTTGATGATAAATTCGTTCGATCAACATCGGCCGTTCTTCGATGAGTTCCGGATACTTCGTTATATCGGATGAGTTCAAGGAGTTCGGTTTTGACAATTTCGGGTTCTACCTATCCTCTTAACCAACACAAGGCCTTTTCGGCTTTTTCGTTTTTCGCTTAGGAAACCAGCCACACTGGAGACTCTGGAATCTACAAGCAATACAGGCGCATGTGTACCATTAAAATTAACTTATACGTATAACAAACATATAACATGTAGGTACCAAAATCACAAGGCATATGCACGTGATCGGACAAAGTGTACTCAGCAATGCGACGGTTCTCCATTCGAATAAATATCCCAAAATGTAAGTCAACAACACTCCAAGCATAGACGATGTACACGCCAACGAAGCCATCGATCCCCTGAGTCTCGGTTCGGTTATTTCGCCGACGTACGACAATATCGGGGCTTCGCTGAATCCTATGCCCAAGCCCATCAGCACGGTGCACGTGTAAAGTGAACCTGTGGAGTGTGTGTAGTACAGCAATATCCATCCGAAAATACTGGGGACGTTGGCGAGAATCATGCACCGTTTCCTTCCATATCTCTCTTGCAGGAATCCCGATAGAAAACTTCCGGTCGGATGAAATATAAACAATATACTCCCTGCATAATAGTAAAAATATAAATGTATAATTGAGCGTACCTATTTGATGCGGCAGAGTATATGGGTGATTTGAACTGGTGCGCGAACAGCAGTTTGTAATTTGTATAATATTATATTGATATATAGGTACCTACTATAATATTATTATACCTCACAATTTACCACAAAAACGACGTATATAAGCAGAGTACAATTTCGTGAAACGTATTGTAGCGCAGCGTTCTGATTTTCAATTTGATGAACTCACTAAATAGCGAACCTCTAGTTTTTTAATAATCTTAACTTTTTTTTTGGTTACCTAAGATAGTTCATGTTCTGAAATCTCAACGGACTTATAACTACATCAATTAGAATCAAATACATGTTAGTTGTTCACATATTTTCATCATTGTAAATAATAATAAATTGTACCTACCTACTTTATGTAAAATCCATCATAATATTATTTTTCTTATCCATAATTGTTTAATGTTACAAGAACAATGATAAAAATAAAATCGAATCCACAATGTGGCTGGACTTGTTTTTAGCGAGTCGAGTCGGTCGGTTAGTACCTACCCACAACAACTATTATTGATAACACATATTGTGATGTGATGTGAGTTATTAGAAAACAGGTAAGATTCGATAGAGAATATTATAGAATAAATCAATTATTTTGAGTTAGGTTAGTCTAATATTCGTTTTTTTCAACGTCTAGAGTATTCCCATTACTTACAAATGTTATACTTACCCTAAACTGTATATCTATTATTTATATTTTATACTAACCATACCACGACACTTCATTTAATGTTAATGAGAATTCACTGTCCGAATTTCGATATAAATGTTGAATAACAATTGTGGGCATTCCTATTTCCATGCCCAATCCAATTAATAGAATGCTCTGCGCTGTTGTAGCGAAAATCTGCGTTATTTAATTGCAGTTGTTTTAGTTCGTTTTATATTTTAAAAAAGGTTTGTATACATATTATATTATAATGTGATACCAACTTGTGCCACCGTAGCCTTTGGGCCGTAGGTTTTGGGAGTATTGTCCATGTTATTATCATTTTTATTGGACATTGACGACTCGCCTAAGTAGAACTACAAATTACAATAATTTACAAAAAATTTTAGCTAGGTTATCTAGCCTATAGCGGTGTATACGCGTACGTCTAAGTTTTAGAGTAAAATCAACCGTCGATAATTACTATTAAATGTCGGTTGAGTACCTACTAGCCATTATAATAATATCGAATATAGATATATTATTACGTCATATTAGCGGATTTTCTAATCAAATAATTTATTACTTTAATCCATAAATGATTCATTCGTATAATAGTGCATGTAGTGTAATAAAGTGTACACCAATGTTTTTCAACTAATAGCGTCGCGAAATTGTTTCGATGGGTCACAATATCATATTATAATATATTAAAGGGGGACGAGGTGGCCGAGCGGTGGGACACGTCGTCTGCGGCGCTGGCGGTCGCGGGTTCGATCCTCTCGACCACTGGGCGGTATTTTTCTCCGGGCAAGTCACAGTGTCCGGAGAACAAGTGCCGCCATCCCCCACTCCGGGGAATGGCAGAAACCTACGGGTGCCCCATTCAAAATTCTGCCAAACCCAACACACACGTGTTCCTCCCCCTACCGACATAACAACACACAAATAAACCACTACAGCTAATGGCCATAGTTGCCGAAGCTTAAGATCAATAAAAAAAAAATAAATAAATAATAACTATATAAAATATCCAGACTGACAAACCGTCTCCGTTCAGAATCGTTTTTCTTATACAATGATATTATATCATTGAATTCAAGTTTAATACAATCCATTAAACAATGACCAACTTGTAACCTACTGTACAGCTGAGCGACATCCACTTACCTGCCTTTTTTTTTTAATTCTTATATGTTATGAATTTTTAACTCAAAATAATTTGCACATTTTCTTGATTTTTTTTCAAAAGTGATAAACAAAGCGTTAGAAATTAAAATCCGATTTTAAATGGTTTTTCGTAATTTTTCGGTGGTTTTTCCCGTGGCATTATATAACTATTGAGAAAATCGAAAAATGACCTCTCTAAAGTACCATCTTGGTCCAATTTGCTAAAAGATAAGGTACTATATGTTGAAATCAAAGCACTCCTTCTGGTAGAAATTTTGTATACAGGATATAAAAAAAAAAAATAAACACCACTGTAAAACCACTAGCTTCCTCGCTCCACTCAGAATCTAAAATTTAATACATACAATAATTCAAATAAGTTTTTCTGCATTTAACAAAAAAAAATGTTTTTGATATTTATTATAATTATATCTCTAGGACAACGGATAACGCGTTATCGGCGGAGCGCGGCGGTACGTTTTTCCAGTCAGCCTGTATATCGCGGAAACATGTAATTTTTTTTTTTTTATATTAAATAAAATTAATTTATTATAAATTATATATAGCTCAAAAGAACAAGTTTACAAGAATTTAATAAGATGAATCTATCTACCACCTGTAAGCAAGCTTGTGATGATGGTAGAGAGTTAAAAATCTAGTAATTAATATAATAATAGAACAAATAACAATAGTATAAATAAAAATAAGAAACATTGTTAAAGTTTCAGTACATAACAAAATTAATCATTACACATAAATACTAGTCTAATAGAGTGTCTAACCAGTTAACAATCAATTTTTTTGAGATTCGACTTTTTAAGATTCCTGGAGTTAGCGTATATACTTGTTTTAATATTAATTGGCAATGACTTAAAATTCAATGGACAAAGATAATTAACAAATTTATGTCCTAAAGATTTTTTAGAATAAGGTATTTTAGCATCATATGCTCTATTTTCTCTTTTATCATAAATTTTAATTTCGTCCACCCATAGATTATAGTTTTTAATTATGAAAAATATAGCTATTTTTTTGTACGAATTCTCTACAGGTAGAACATTAAATAGTTTAAAATTGTCTACTGTTGATTTTTTTAGGCTTATCTTACTAAGACAGATCCTAATTATAATCTTTGCTGTATTATTAGTGGCCATAGTGCATTTGGAATGAATTAAGGCACTTTTTTCGAAAAGCTTCGATATACGGATATTATAAATTATTATTTATTAAATACAATTTTATGTTAACTTGAATTGATGCGGAGTAATTTCAGTTTCTTAAACTATTGTCGAGACTCGACTGTCGATATCACTACCCCGGGCGAGGCTTGGCATGGATTTTGTTTTTAAATATTTTAAATATTAAGCCATTTAACTGTCCTGAATCCTGGATGTTTATTATAAGTAGGTACTCTGCATAATTAACAATCCTAAATTTTGATTAAATTCAAAGCTTTTATTTTTTGAACATTCGGTACCTGACAATTTGAGATAACACAATAACACATCTAATATTAGATTGAAAACTGGAAAAGACTATTTAAGTTTATTAACCAATTTAGACAATACACTATCAAAATGAAGACTTTTTTATAGCTATTGAGCGATAGGGAGAAGGGTGGCAGGAGCTACAAAAAGCAGTAAGGGGCTAAAAAATGTTTGCCACCTTACAGAAAAATATCTGGCTACATGCCTGCAACTTATGGACACTCTTACTTTCCCTTATTTTTTAATGTTATTAAGAAATCTAACATTTCCTGTTTGTGCTGATTTGAGACTTGTTTTTAGTATATATTTTAAATAATAACTGTTCGAAACATATCACCTGTTTCGAGGAAATATCTAGCCTGAAATGGAAAAAAAATATGGAATAAATGATAAAGTAACGAAATTCTTAAATTAAATAATATTATAATAAATTGTCCGCTATTTGAATAATACGGAGACGATGCACAGCGAAAAATGTTCATCTAAATCTACAACTAAATTATCATCTATTTTCTTTGTCTAGCACTTCACTGCAAAGTTAGAAAAGTGTGAAACTTTTTCCTAGAAACCCACATTATCTCTAAATCCAAATTATTTTAAACTAAGATCACTTTTATATATGTAATAAATCTCTGCAATTATTTATTGCAACTATTAGTACCACACGATTCATGATGACAAAGATGTGCATAAATTTCCACACCACCATTTGCTTGTTAAACGTAAGACATTACATCGTCCATGTTGTTTAAACGCAAGAGGTATTATGCGTGGCGCGTTTTTTTTATAGTGGTGTCCCCGGTAGGCATAGTCCACGTTTTAAGAAAGTCTTTTACAGTAAGTTTTATGGGTGACATTAATGATTTTATAATAAATAGGTTGTCTGTGAAATATTAAACACCTAATGGGAATATCTAGCCTCTAAGGGAAAATGTATGAATTATCACGCGAATCACCCGTTGTCAATTAATTACACTTCTTTAGCGCACAGCGAATCGTCATTGAACCACACGTCGTCAAGGCACTATACGTCGTCAGCGAACCGAACGTCCTGAGCGCAACGGCACGTCGTCAGCGAACCGCACGTCGTCAGCGAACCGCCAGTTACGCAGCGAACCGCATGTCGTCAGCGAACCGCACGAAGTCGGCTGCAGCGCACCGTGTTTCCAAGCCCGGATTATGGGGGGGGGGCACGGGGGGCACAGTGTCAGGACCCATTGGTTTTGGGGCATCTATTTCCCCAATATATATTTTTTTTAACGCGTCAAATACAGTTTAAAAAAAAAAAAAAAATTATTGATAGTAGGTAAATTATTATTAGGGCTAGGATTTATATGCATTTCCATGTTTTTTTCCTTAAGTAAAAATTGATTGTTTGTCAGATTTGTCCATGATTTTGCTTACTCTCGTTTAAATAAAATCAATTTTTTTTTTGCATATTTTGAACACAATGCATATAATTGCATATTTATAGATTTTTGAGTTTTTATTTTTTTTAACTTAAATTTTTAAATTTTTATAAATTATTGTTAATTTTAAATGGCGTTTATTTCATAATACCGATAGTTTTTGGTTTATCCGTCGAATTGTAAATATATAGTATAAATATTACCTATCTAATCTTATCTTGGTCGGACGACCGATAAGATTACCTACACATTATTTAACAACGTATTTAATTTCATTAGTACGGCGTGTATTGCGTAAATGTGGGGACACTTATACTTAAAAAATTGAGTGGTTTTAATAACAGTATCAGTTAACAATTTTATAAAATGCCGAAAGTTCAAAGTGAAAGTGCCAAGTTACGTCAACTTGTAGAAGAATTTTCAAGTGACGTTTTTAAAACAGATGGTAAAATATTATATTGTATTATTTGTGATCAAGCTGTGCCTGTAACAAAACGTTTTTAGGTGTTACAGCATTTAAATACAGGCAAGCATAACAAAAATATTAATTTATAAGCCAAATCTAAATAGTCGTTCATTAAAAATGCATTAGATAACCAAAATAAACAAGCGAATTTTTATCTAGATTTATGTCAAGCAATGTTAGAATCGGATATACCTTCATGGAAGTTAAATCATTCATTATTTAAAATTTTTTTAGAAAAATAAACTGGTAAATGTGTTTCTGACCAGTCTAAAATTCGCAAAAACTATGTTTCTGCTATTTATGAAAATACTATTTCTCGTATTCGTTCGGAAATTGGTGATGGCCCAATTATTGGGTTTCAATAGATGAGACCACGGACATTGACGGTCGATAATTTGTAACGTCATAGTTGGTCTCCATTTCCTCCACGAAGACAATTATTCAAAGCCGTATCTATTAATGTGTGAAGAACTTGAAAAATGTAATTTCCAAACTATTGGCAAAATATTTAATGATGCAATGCACCTATTATGGCCATCAGGAGTGAAGTACAAAGAAGTATTACTTTTTGTTTCTGACGCCACGCCAAATATGGTTAAATCAGCGAATTCCTTGACTATGTTATACCCTAATTTAATTAATTTAACATGTTTGGCACATGGGATTCATAGAATTAGCGAATGTTTACGAAATGAATATTCTACTGTTGATAAATTAATAGCGACAATTAAAAAAGTATTTTTGAAAGCTCCCAGCCGAATTATCAAACTACGTGAACTATTCCCAAATTTACCTTTACCACCTCAACCAATTATCACTAGATGGGGTACATGGTTAAATGCAGTAGAACACTATTCAAATAATTTTGATTCAATAAAACACACTGTAATATCACATTTAGACGACGAAGCAGAATCAATTAAAAAATCAAAAGAATTGTTTGAAGACAAACATTTACAAAATGATTTAGCTTATTTAAAAAGTAATTTTTGTTTTCTGATCCAAGCTATTACTAATCTAGAAAAAAGTACACTATCTCTTGACGAAAGTTTAAACATTATTTTAAATGTGAAAGATAAATTGAATAAATGTAACGGGAGAGCAGCAGAATTGTAAAAACTAAAATGGATTTTATACAAAAAAAAAATAAGGGATTTAAAACACTATTGAAAATTCATAGAATTATAAACGGTGAATATGAAAATGAAGAAGAAGATATTAATATTAATCTAACTCCAGGAAAAATCGCGTCATTCAAATATGCACCAATAACCTCATGTGATGTGGAAAGGAGTTTTAGCCAGTAAAAATCTATTCTACGTTCAAATCGCCGGTCGTTCGTATTTGAAAATTTGAAACAACATATCATAGTAGCGTTTAATAATATAAACTAATATTTGGTGTAATTATATAAACTTATAATTAATTTAATAATAATAAATTATGAATTATAATAAAAATATATATCTAGAAATAATAAAAATTTGTTTTTGCATATTTTTGCATATTTTGGTAAATCAAATGCATATTTTACAATTTGTTATTGCATATAAATCCTAGCCCTAGGAATTATTTATTATTATTAATTGTTGGCTGAAAACATATTATTATAGATCTGTTCTAAAATATACTAATGTTAATGTTATCTTTAAGTATATAGATTATTATTATGGGAAAAAGAAAAATTATTGGAAAATCTTCATATTCTTCGATAAAAAACAAAAAGTACAAGAAAAAAAACGACAGAGAAGTAGATGAATCTCAAGAAAATGTTGAAGAAGGTATCACTAACTAATGTTTACAGTAGTGAACTAACCAGACAAAGAAAATCAAAGTTAGAACAATTTTTAAAAATTAAAGCATTTTCATACAATCCAGAAACCGACTATGAATTCGAAAATAATATTTCAATTGGGTTAATGGATAATGAATGTACTTATTGTCAAGCATTAAAATACATAAACGAACCAACTGGTTTATGTTGTGCAAATGGAAAAATTAAACTACCAGTCCCAAGGTGTCCAGTTGAACCCTTGTTATCATATTTAATCGATAATACTTCCAAACGCTGGAATGCAATTAAAAAGGAAGGAAATTGAAATTGTTGATGATACTTATTCAAAGGTAACAAGAATTTATCTTTTGTAAAAAAGATATTGTATTTTAAAAAAAAGTACTGTATTACCTATTATCATTTATCGATAAATCTTTTTAGATTTCATTAGTGTTATGGAATTCAAATCAAATAGACAATTTTGATGGTGATAGAAATGACGTAATTGTTTTAAAAAATATCAAAGTTTCTGATTATTATGGAATAAAGAGTTTAAATTTACATTTTACCACAAAAATTCTAATAAATCCTAATTAAGATGATGTAAAAAAGTAAATAAGAATGCAAATTGATATATTTTGTAATTTGTTTGTAAATTAATATATTGATAATTTATTTTTAATCACAGCTTATCACAGTGGTATATTTTGAATGGAACAAAAAAAAATTACTCACTAGTCAGAGAACAAATTATAAAAGAATATAAATTTATGAAAATTCATACAATTTTTAATAAAGTGAAAAACACCATCATTGGTAAAATGAATTGATATAGATAAGTTTGGAAAAAATTATGATAGTTATTATAAAACTTGTTCTACAGATATTATTGCAATAATTAATGACCTTAAAGAACCAACAGAAATATCTGCTTCAAATGGTGAAACATATAAAAAACAAGAAATCATTTTGATTGACGAAGGATTAAAAACAGTATTAATTTTGTATATATTAAGCAATAGTCCACTTTTAAAAACATAAATAGAAATGATAATAACAGACAATAATTACAATATAAGATATAAGTATTATTAATTATTAATTTAGAAATTATATGCAGATTGTACTAAATTTATGGAATGAAAATATTAATAATTTTGAAGGGAAAAATAATGATATTATAGCCATCAGTAATGTCAAAATTGGTGAGTATAAAACCCAGAAAACTTTGGTTTTAACAAGTGTATCACAAATAATAATAAATCCTGACTTTCCTGAGGCGAATAGGTAAATAATTGGTAGTTCTTAATAAAATTAGGAAAAAAAATATTAATATAATTTCTTTAGATTGAAAGAAGAATTTAGACGTATTGAAAAAAAAGACATTGAAAATGTTAAGTTCACCAAAATAAACTTAATTCAAAATCTAGAAGATCAAATATTTATAAGTATGAAATTATAAAATATACCGGGTGATTCCTTTATCATGAAACACTCATTATTTCACCTTATAAAACAATTATCAAATCAAAATTTTCCAAAAAAAAAAAAAATTAATCACTTACAGATATAAACACTGTTATTGATGCTGTGGGTGAAGTAGATAATGTATTTTCTAAAAATGGCCAAATATACGATAAAAAAGAAATAGTCCTAATCGATGATAGTAATGAAAAGGTATTTTTTTTATTTTTTTTTTTTTGATTCACTATTTAATAATTTTTAATTTTAAATATACCTAAAGATAACTATAACATTATGGAATTTCATGGGTAAACTAAATACCAAAATAACCTTACGGAATACCAAAATTAGTGACTACAAAAATCAAAGATATTTAACATTGAATCGACAATCAATAGTTTCCTATGACGTAGACAAAACAACTAACACAGAGTAAGAAGCAAAATATTATGTATTACAAGATCGTAAAAATAAATAATAAATGATTTTGTTTCTACACAAATGTAAACGATTTATTTTCCAGATTTGAAGAATGGTTTAATAGAAAATATAATAAATTTTCTATTGTTATCCCATTGTTATTTTCTAATATTAATTATTGTCCATCCTAATATCATATTTATCCTATTATACCCATATTATATATTTATCTAGGTTAATAGTTAATTATTTAAAACTGACTTCTAGAGAAAAAATTCCCCCGGCGAAGCCTGGTAACACCTGCTAGTTAATAATAAAATTATAAAATAAAATTGTTCTCCATTTTATACCACGAAAAATTACTATAAATAATGAATTATAATGTTTGCCAGCAAATATGTTTTTTTTTTTTTTTTTTGAGCATTTTAGATTACCGATTTAACTATTTAAGTATACAAAAAGGTAGTTATAAGAAAATAATATTTAGCTCTTATAAATTAGGTATTTCAGTTACAAGTATTAATGCATATTAAATTAAACTTTAGAGAACCATAGTCTAACCTAACTTAACGAACCAAAATTTATCATTTTACTGTCAAAATATTCAGAAAAAAAGTTTTACCAGAATCCATCGAAAAATATAGTGGTTACCATTTGAAAAAATAAAGTCGATTTTATTATTGATACAACTGCGTGTTTATAAATGTTAACAATTTTGTGAAAAAATTGCTTGTTAAAAATAAAGAAACACGTCTTTTTTGTTTTAACTAAATTCAATATCATTGATTCATAATTGTTAAAAAAACCGGGTTCAATGACATATGATACACTCTGTGTATTTGTTGTATAGTAAAAAATTATACAATAATATAAATTTGTTAATATATAATGATACAATTATTTTTAAATTAAAGTTGAAAGGGGGCCCACAAGTGTACAGGTGTCCCGGGGCCCAATCGATTCTTAATCCGGGCTTGCATGCGTCGTTGGCAAACCACACGTTACGTCAGCGAACCGCACGTCGTCAGCGAACCACACGTCGTCAGCGCACCGCACGTCGTCAGCGAACCGCACGTCGTCAGCGAACCGCCCGTTAACGCAGAGAACGGCACGTCGTCAGCGAACCGCAAGTACGTCAACGACGTGCACGTCGTAAACAAACCACACGTGCGTCAAAGAACTACACTTTGTTATCAAACCGCTCATCACTACCGCTAGGATGCCATCGGCACAATCCCAATCTTTACATGGAAATTATCGAAGGTTTTTTGGGAAATGTATGCTATTCTATGAAACATCAAACCACTAACGGAAAATATATAAATTAAATAGTCGGGGAATGTCATAGCGGTTTTGAGAAAAGGTAAATCGACATTGGACCATATTGTTACACTGAGACAGATAATGGCTAAATTTTATAAATTTGATAAAGAACTGCAACTGAAAACTGAAATTTGATTAAGAATCTTTATAGACTATAAAAAAGCTTATGACTGAATTGACAAACTATGAGAAGCACTGGAAGAACTAGGCATTCCTAACAAGTAAGTAAGTCTTATAAAAGGATGTAACAATAAAAATGTATGCATAGTTCGTCTCCTTCAGGAAACGTCTGAAACCTTTGAGGTAAAGTCAATTCTTTTACAAAGTTAATGCTTTATCATCCATTCTACTCAATCAACCATTAGAAAATTAAATGATAGAAGTATGTGGGATGGTCGAAAAATGGAAATATTATGTGGGGAACGAGTAATATTGGCGTACGCAGATGACGCATTGAAGTCAAAAATACTTGTCCAGACTCTTAGCAAGTAAAATTATGGGGCTAAGTAATACAGGGCTACGTGTAAATGGGGAAAAGATGAAATATTTAATGGTAGCAAGAAGAAGCTCAAACATAGACAATATTATAACAGTAAATGATTAAAATGTCAAGAAAGTGCTTATAAGTACCTATAAGCATTATCATAAATAGCAACAAGGACATATGCGAATAAATCAATGAGCAAATAACATGCGGCCATCGGTGCTACTATAGCAAAATTAAACTTCTTAAATCAAAATTACTTTCACAGAGTCACATAACTCAAAGACACTATTCTATCATAGCCGTTTACGACCAATAATCACATATACGATCGAAACATGATCACTGCCCAAAGGAGACAGCCAACGGCGAATGACCTTCGAAAGAAAGGTACTGAGAAATATATAGATATTGTCCAAAGTTCAATGCAGAATTTCAAACTTATGAAAGCAGAAAAAAATCAAGAATAATACAAAGACCATCGTAAAAGAGTATAAAGAGTACAAAGAGCCGCGAAGTTTTTTTTTAATATGTCGCAGGGTATGCTTAAGTATACATAAATACCTAAAATGTATCAAGATTGCATTTTGGCCTGACTACCTATATAATTTTTTTGTCGGGAAAATTTTTTTTTTTTTTAGTTGTCTTAAGTGTCGGCCACTATTAGGCGATGTGATATTATTATTAATGCATTATTTAAATGAAATATAAAAATGTTTTCGTTATATTAGATATTTTATGTATGACTGAGGATTTCAGGATTTGTTTTATATACATTGTTTTTAGATACAAGAATGTCTATAAATATTTAAACTTAAATTAAAATAATTTAATAGTATTAGCTTAAGTATTGGGTATACAATATGCATAAAATATTAGATTATTAGATGGAAAATATAAAGACAAATAATTATCGAGCGTAGAGAGAAAATACATTTTGGGTAATAACTCTATACCTAGTAAGTACAATATAAATTAGCCTGCATCGTTGTTAGCATATCTTTTAAATTACGTGAGATTTTTATTTTGGTATTAGTTATTAAGATTAGTTAATTGAAGCGTAGGAAAATAATAAAATTAAAGTGTAGCCGTGTTAAGAATAATTGAGATTTTTTTTATTATTTAAGATTAATGATATACATGATATATATTAAGTATTAAGAATAAGAGTAAAAGAATTGAAAGAATTAAGGGATTAGAAAATTTATGTATAGGTACCTAATAATTTTAGTTTTAATTTAATTTTTTTTTTTTGATATTTACGAGATTTTTTGTTTTAAGAATAGGAGTAAATTACATATAGGGATTTTGTTATCAGAGAAATTATATAGTAAATATAAAAATTAAGGAATTGCATTTTTTGTTTGGATAGTAACGAGATTTTAAGTTTTAAGAATAGGAGTAAATTACATATTAGTACATAATAGAGAAATTATAAGAGAATTATTTTATTGTAAGTGAACATAAGCAATGTTGCGATAAATAAAAGTATTAAATGGACAACAAGTTTTACATAAAACGTAACGTGAATAACCAAATAACAAAAGTAGATAGAACAAATATATTATATCTGAATGAAACTTTTAATTCCGAAATAAACGAAATTAATCTAATAAATTTATTACTGCAAATCG